GTAAATAAATTTTAAAATCACAAACACGTGTATATATTTATGTGTATATAACAAACGGGTTGAAATGGATTTTTGTTTACCTTGGTCCTGAAATTTTTGTTTTCAATTTCTTTAAATATAATTTTTCTATCTTTAATTTTTTTGAAATTTTTATATAATTTTAATTTTCACTCATATTGTTTAATGTTTTTCAATTTAAGTTAGTTTTCCTTATAATTTCATTTTCGTATAATATTTTTTTTTATTAAGATTTTTTTTGATGTTGAGTAACTTTTTTTTCTGATTTTTAGAATTCATTTTTTCATTTAGTTTTGTTTTATTTTATTATTTTCAACTTACTAATTTAATTTGTTTATTTATACTTCAATTTACTGTTTTTTTTTATTTGATACTACTTTTTACTGTTATATTATTTAGCTTTTAACTATTTCAAATTTTCTATATATTGCTTATAATTCGTACTGTACTTTTTTCATAATTACATTTATTTACTTCATTTTATTCAAATTTATTTCACCTTAAGTAAATCAACTTGGTTTTTTTTCATTAATGCGATTTGGTTTGCTTTAAAATAATTTATTATGTTTAAATAGAATTTATTTAATAAAACTTCATTTAAATATTTTATTTTATTTTAGATTAATTTGATTAATTTTTTTTTATGATTATTTATTTCGCTTTGCATTTGCTTACTTAACAAGGTAATTCGTCTTCCTTTCTGTCATATCGTATTAAATTTATTTATAAATATTTATTTCTCTTTTCATAATTTTATTTTTTTATTAAATTTTATTCAATACTATTTTCCAATTTGTTTACTTTTAACTTACATTGTGTTTATCTATTTTATTTAAAATAAAATTATTATGTTTTATTTATTTAAGTTAGTTTTGTTATGCTTAAAAATACTATTTGTTTATTTTATATACATTTAGTTTGTTTTATTAAAATAAATTTAATATTTTTTTTGGTTTATTACAATTAATTTATTTTATATCAGTTTATTATTATAATTTAATTTTTCAATATTTTTTATTTAAATTTTTTCTTAATTCTATTTGAGTTAGTTTAATAATATTTATTTCGATTTTACTTAATTTTCTTTTATTATGCTTCCCTTAGCTTAATTTGTTTTTATTTATTTAATTTTATATTATTTCATTCTATGTTTTCTTATTTACTGTATGTTATTTACTTATTTTTTATTTAATGTATTTTATTTTATTTTTTTTTTAATTTAGTTTTATTTTTTTATTTGGTTTCATTTCAGATACTATTTTTAGTTTTTATTTATTTTATTTCAGTTTGAATTATTTAGTTTACTTTAATTGTCTTGCTAAATTTATTTAATTTACCTAAATTTATTTGTATTTAAATTTCTTTAAACTTAGTTTAAATTATTTTTATATAACTTATTTTATATCAACTAATCTAGTTTATATTACTTTAGTTTAATTTCTTCATATTTGAAATAATTTAACTCAAATTAATATAGTTTAATTATGCTTACATATAATTGGCGCTTTGTAACCGCTGAACCCATTTTTCGGCCGAGCTCCTCCTCCAATTTGTGGTTGGTTTATATAATACTAAGCCACCTCCTAACGGCTGATGGGTTTTTATGAGGGGCTTTTGATTTTCCTGTCTTTTCATTCATTTCTGCTGACATTCTTCGGCCGCAATTAGAAAATTTAACTTACTTTTTTATTTAAATTAAATGTTTTTGGTTGTTAGTACGACACCAGGATTTGAAATCGAGACGTCCGAGCTTATATATACTTTATTTTAGTTTAATTATTTTTCATTTCATTATTTTATTTTATTTTAATTTTTCCTTTAGTTTATTTAATTTATATTACTTGGGTTAATTTTATTTGTTTTATAAAATTTATATTGATTATTTTTTTTAATAAAAGTCGGCCATTTATTTTATTTTAATTTTTATTATGTTTTACTTGATTTTTAATTATATTTTTAAGTTTGTGAGTACTGTTTTTAAATGAATTTCATTTCAACTGCTTTATATTAAATAAATTTTTTTATTATTTTTATTGCATTTTAATCTATCTTTATTTTTAAAAGCCTTCCTTTACGCTTTTTCATTTCTCCTTGGTAAAATGTAACATATTTTTAGTCGCTTAATTTAAAACCAATTTGCGCTTATAAATATTTATTAAACATTTTTACATCAATATGTTGCAAATAAAAAGAAAAATTATTTTCCAACAAATTCTTCGTCATATTAGGTGAAGATATTTCAGACAAGCAAAAAGCAAAAAAAAAAAAATTTATCAACATATTTCCTAAAGTCAATTTAAAGCCTCTTAAATGCTTGACGAGCAAATTTTGTTGAATCCTTTCGGCACACACAAACAAGAACCGTATGCGCTTTAGACACTGAAAAATATTGCTCAGGTACTTCGAAGCATTTTATGTTATGAAATATGTATACTAACCAGGTTGAGTTGGTCATCTACAAAGTAGGAGAAACTAAAGGTTATGAGAATTTGGTATGTAGGAATTTATATGTGTACTTATGCACTACTCACACACACGCATGTATTCAACGATAAAAGTGCATTCGATATTTTTCTGCTTACAACACAGTAAAATGATAACTAAGCGAAGCAGCTGCAGCATATCATAAGTAATGGTCGACGTGGAAAAGTGAAATAGAAAAATATGTGGAAAAATTATGCGAGTAATAAGAAATACTGACAGAGATTGCACAAATATAAGTACAATCCTAAAAAGTTGGCATGCTTTTTAGTTTAAGCTTTGCTTAAAAGATTTTGTTCTTAGCAGAAAATTCTAAGAAAGCGGTAGAGTTTAGTAGCGATTGTGTAGAGTTTTAAATGTTTCATTAAATATTTGTTAACTTCAGCATATATATTGTTTTGACGACCCAAAGGTGGTAGAGGACACTGTATTTTTTGCGGCGATTTTTATGTAGCATTAAATTGAAAAATAGCTCTTATTTAATTATAATTTATTAATACATCGTAATGAGGTGGTTGAACAAAGTAGTTTATCAGTGTGGGTTGCTGATATCAGAGATTAAAAGGGAAATTTATTTCTACTTTTGAAACCCTTCCTTTACGCGTTTTCATTTATTTTCATTTCTCTTTGGTAAAATGTAACATATTTTTGGTCGCTTAATTTAAAACCAATTTGGGCTTATAAATATTTATTAAAAATTCTTACATCAATTTGTAGCAAATAAAAAGAAAAATTATTTTCCAACAAATTCTTCGTAATATTAGGTATCTATTTGTAATGTAAATAAACGACAAGCATACAATAAATGGCAAAAAGGTCATTGAAGTCCAAAGGGATTTGGAATAGATAGTGTCAGGAGTGGTCTTCTGTGGTAGACATGATGCTCATGTGTCATTGGGAAAGAGAATTCCCACTGCTACCTAACTACATATATTATCGTTTATTGGCGTATTTTATCCACATTTTTTTTTTTTAATGAGAATGAACTCTGGCCAACTAATGAACTAATTGTTAATTAGAATCCTACTAGTTTACGATTGTTTACCAACTGACTCTTCATCTATCTACTTTCCATATAAGCAAGTGCCGATTGCCAGTGTATGCATCAGCTTTCAACTAGTTAAATACCAGTTCATATACAACAGTTTGAATACTGGTTCGTTTCTAACAGTTGAAGACTAGTTCGCTTTAAATATAATACATTTTTTCTGTGTATTCAAGTAGATTTAAGCATGGTGTTGAAAAACTTTTTTCACAAGAAGTTGTCAAGTTACCAACTTCTTACAAAAAAAAAAAAAACAAAATTGATTAACATTTCTTTAATTTTGATATATTATTTATTTCCTGGAAGTGGGCCAGATGTCGATCTATGTATTTAAAGTTTGCTCATAATTTTTTGCAATTGAACAAAATATGAAAAAAAAACACAATAAAATGTGGTTGTTGTTGTCTTTGTTGTAGCGGCCGGAGCTTCAAGTCACTTAAGAATTCTGCTATAATTTTTTTTTTTGCAAGAAGATAAAGTGATGTAAAATTGTCAGAAAAATAGTACTAGTCTATGGCGAACTAGTATACTTTTATTCTTTAAATATTAGCTTAATTTACGCCAAACTATTGTAGTATGATATCGTCTTCAAAAAAAAAATATTTTTTAATAAGAATTTTTACGTTTTAGTCTACTTTTTGCCAGCAGGGATAGGGGTGTCAGTATGTCGTTTTCAGTTTTTAACTGTGTATATATGCATGCAGGTGTGTTAAGCAGAACCAAAAAGCTCAGTTTATCCATTTGTTGGTTTCCGAAAATTGAGTTGAGTTGTTTTATATTTTAGGGTATACTTTTTTGCTACTATAAAATTGTGAAAATTTTACAAGAGATTTGTATGAGCATTTTCAGCTTAAATATTAAGTAGAAATGTATTTTCTCTAATTTTAAGAATTTTCTAACTACTATTCGTGGAGTGGTTCACTAGGTAAATTTTCTGCTAGTTATTAATTTGGAATCAGTTTGCTGGCAACTTTGAATTTAAGATTTTATATATAAGAATAAATTAAAATAAAAAATGAAATACAAAATTTTGAAATATATTGTGAAAACTGACTTTTTTTCTGTAAGCACATTCAGTTTTAAAAATCTTTATTAACATACACATTTTTTATTCTCATGTTAACAGAGCTTAGAAGTCCATTCTTTTAAAATGAAAGGAAATACAATATATATTTTTTTGCTTACTTAAGTCGTACAGTAAATAAACCAAAAATTTAAATTAAAATAGAAAGCTTTTCATAAGTGCCAAAGTCAATAATAATATCCCTTAATGCATTGAAATGGACAACAAACAATGCAAATTGAAAGTTATTTCCATTGAACTCTGCCAACTGCCCATTCCCATAGATATTCGTTGCTTACTCAGCTACATAACTCTATTTTCCCAGCCAAAACGCATTTATTTACTTTCTTTTTTTTTTCAATTCTCTTTCTTAAACATTTTCATCCTTTTCAGATTCAAATTTCGTGCTTGGCAATGCACAGGCAAATGGCAATCCAATTGTTTATTGTTCGGATGGCTTCGTGGATTTGACAGGATATTCACGAGCGCAAATAATGCAAAAGGGTAAGTGTTTTAGAACTTTAATGCGTTTGGTTATTGAAGTGGAAAAAATGCGTTAGAGAAATAATAATCAATAATGTAGAAATATTTGTTAAACAAAATTTCTTCGAATATTTGTAACTGTGAAATTGTTGAAATTTATTTGCCTTAATTTTTTTCTGCACTAATACCATAAAAAATAATTGATTTTATTTGTTTAAATATTTTATAATTAAAAGAGGTAATTATTTTATTTTTTCAAAATGTTGTTCGTGGAAAAAAAATATCGCAAAGCTTTTGCGTTTAATGCTACAATTAACGCTCTTTCTATTCTTATTGACCTTGTTTTTAAATTTTCGGCTTATAAATTTCCATTATATATTCAAGTGGTCCACATGATTAAGCGTTAAAAAGTATAAAACATTGGCTGCATGTTTTAAATTTTTTTTACAAGAATATGAAAGCTTGTTCTGAGTAAGGCTGCAGGACTCAGAAAATAATATTCATAAGCTCAATGCCGACATTTACTCTGTGCTGCACATTAAGGAAGAGTAAATATTGCGTTACAGTTTTGGAAGGCATATTTTTAGGCGTAAGGTTGATAGCCTTTCACATTTTACTCGCAAAACTTCATGGACGTGCAGTTTTTAATTGAGTTAAATAAAATTACAGAAAAATCGTTCGGCTTTAGTAGGAAATTTTTTTGGAAATTTTTGGAAATTTTTGTAAAATTTTCTAATTTTATATTCCTAAAAAAAATTGAATTTCCACTCAATTAAATTACTGCTTTAATGAGAAAACTAAATTTGTTATAAAAATTTCAATAATTTAAAGATTAAAGTGTGTTTTTAAATATTTTTCTTGGCTTGATCTCAAGTTATTTTCTTATTAAAACAAAAAAGTATATATATTTATCCACCACAAAAAAAGGTTAACCAAATATCTTGTCTCCAAAATAAAGTATTTTTGTCCTAAAAAATATCCGTCAATAATCCCAAACAATAATACAGTTAGTCAACACTTTTAAAATTTGTTATTTTTCTTTCGTACTTTGCACGCCTCAACACCAAATCCATGTGATTTTTGCGGACTTTGCAATCAACAAAAACAATGGCAACCAAAACGGAATGCCGCCACAAATACACAATGCTAAAATAAAAACAAAACAAAAACAATAAAATGCCAACTGTTAAATGGCACAATGACAACTAAAAATAATGAAAACAATAATACAAAAAAAAATATTTAAAAAAATTAAAAATAAAAATGGAAACAAAATAAATAAAAAAAAAAAAAATTACGATGCGAAACAATAAAACAAATCAACAACAACTGCTTCTCCGAATTAAATTCAACTAAACAAACAATGAAATTCTCTCACCAACTAACTGTACATCACTGAAAATGCCATCACTTCGTTGGTCAACTGATGGGCAACTGAATTGAATGTCGCTTTGGCTGCTTACAAATTGTGTGTTTTTGTTGTTATTGTTACAACTTCTCGCTCTCCGGCTGGTATTTTTTGTAACATCACAACGAACACTGCCACTGCGCTAACGAAAACAACAACACCAATGCGTGTACTTTACTCCTTCATTGCGGCAACAGGATGCTCGTGCCATTTCCTGTACGGTCCGGAAACAAAAGATGAGCATAAACAGCAAATTGAAAAAAGTCTGATGAATAAGACCGAACTGAAATTGGAAGTTATTTTTTATAAAAAGGATGGTAAGTACTTGTTATTGTTAAATAAATACCTAAATATACAGATATATACATAAATACATAGAGGGGTGGAGGTATTGCAAGCGAAATGCATAATTAAAAACAAATAAATTTGTTAAAAAAATAAAAATATGTGAATTTGTGACAAAAGCTTCTAATTAAAAAGTTGATGTTGCATAAATTGGAAATGGGAATTGAAGGGTTGCTGACGATGAGTTGCTGTTGTAATGACTGGTTGTATTTGTTTTTTTTTTTTATATTTTTTTTTTAACCCAAATTTAAAAAATTGTGCAAAATTAAAAAGTAGACTTATAATTTCGTAGAGTTTAGAATTCTTTTGGGCAGTTTCCAAATTTAAAAAAGAATTCAAAGAATACGTTTTTCCAAAAGGTTTCAGTGTTGTCACCTGAAATTTTTCATATTTCTTAATCAGTGCAAAGAAATTTTAAAATATGATTTTAAATTAAAAGAAGATATTTAAAGAAAGTGGGGGAGGATGGTGTCACGCAAGTGAGAAAACGATTCTTTTATATGGGTTTTAAGCGATTCACGACTGTTTTAGATCAAGTTTCCTCTGGGTAGCCAACAAACACCAATTTGGAAATGAGCTAAAGTGAGAAGGCGAAGTCTCACACGGTTATGTATTGTGTATGGAACCCACCACTTGAATAAAATACTTCAATAAAAAAGAAAAACTCAAAACCATGAATGATACAAACTGATCTCAAACCTGCTGAATGGCAGTAAAAATGAAAGAGCAGCAGCTGGCGATGAAAAAGACGTCAACTTAACCCGACTATCATGAAATTCCTAAAGTGGTGATGGCCTTCCGGCAGAGCTATTCAATCATGGTGGTGAAGAACCTCTTAATGAGACTCATAAATATCTCTTGTGAAACACAAGAGCCCACTGTCAAAATCACCGTTCGGTTCTAAGGATGGCTTCGACACTATGGAGTAAGGATCTGCCCCTACGCCACCACTGGCTGGCTTTATTGGCCTCAAATTTAGATCAAAATTCATTGAAAGTAGTTTCCATATACCTGAACCTAGTACTAATCAAATGACGGTCCCTTAAAACGCAGAAATCGTTCGATTATTTTAAGGTAGAATTATGCGACCTAAGAGGAGAAGCATTATACTTTTAGATAGGGAATATTGAGTAATGGGTAAAGATTTCTGTAAAAATTGTTAAAAAATTCTTATCGTTCGTAGCCGATCTGTACAAACATAAATCCGTAAACATTGAATTGTTGTTTTTTTATAATCTTTTTCAATTTGTCTTAAGTGCTGTCCCCAACTCGCTTGTTCACAGCTGCAACGAAGGAACATATGCGCATAACTACTTCGAACCTTTCCTTTGTGTATAATAGCACTTAATCGTGACCTCGTTAAATGAAGAAAGTAAAGCAATCACTTGTAGAAAATGACAAAGCTAAGTTACTGCCATATGAGCGCAAAATGTTAAAAGGCGTAATTACTTCAATAAATAAGTACTTAAGACTTTTTCAAATATAAAAGTGGAATAGAACGAAATAAAAAAGCAAAATTTATCGAAATAGAAATATAATAAAACAAAATCAAATAAATTAATAAAAAAATTATTAAACTATAAATACATTAAAAAAAAAAAATAAATAAAAAAGAAAATTTAAAAACCTAAAATTTAATAGAATAAAATAAGCAACTGAATCAAAATAAAATAAAATAAAATAAAATAAAATAAAATAAAATAAAATAAAATAAAATAAAATAAAATAAAATAAAATAAAATAAAATAAAATAAATTAAAATTACTAAATAAAATTTGGTGTGGTTTATTAAAGCACAATTTACTTTTTAAAAGTAACACATTTAAACCACATTAGAAATCAATAAAATACGACCTACTATTATCTTCGTATCCACAGAAAAACATTTAAAGCCAATAAATTAGCTGGTCGTGCCACACAAACTGCACTTAATACTATTCTGAATGCCGCACATGAATCGAAAAGCGAACGAAAGCCAAATAACGTAAAAAGAAATAAAATAAAGAATCAAACAAAAAACAGCAGAAGCCAAAAGCAAATGATGCTATTTTTCGTAAAAACTTAACGTACGTATGATTTTATTTATTACCGTTGTCGCTAATACGTGTCGGCGTCATTGTAAACGTGTGAAATGGCAAAAAGTTGTTACGTACATGCCGTGTGGTCGCTTATACCCCCAACACTACTAATGCCAGCACGTACGCGCGCGCTTTAACTTTAGCACCTACTGTATAAATGTACATGAGATATATGTAACTGTGTATGCATGATACAAAAACAAAAAAGAAATACAATTATACAACAACAAATTGCTCACTTACAGTTACAAATGTGCAGCTCTGTGTAAATCTTCAGTAGATGCTCCCTAGTGGAAACATGTCCGTAGCGCTGTGGGTGTGAGTGAGTCTGTCTATTGTAAGCGTCTGCTGGTTGTTTTTGTTGCTCTATATGAGATTTTTGTCAATACAAGGCACACACAAGTGTGTAGACGACATGTTGTCTGAACAACAACTGGAAACTATTATTGTGCTCGTACAAATAATAAAAAGTCACTCGAATAAGTTTTTGAGTGGGCTCATGGCAGCTGACAATGTTTTTCGATGTAAACTGTAGTTGTGCGCTTTTACGTGCACTTTTGCGCTTTTTGTCATTTTATTTGTCTGTGGTTCATGTTGAACTTGTCTGTAATTTTTCTTCTTCCTTTATTGTCACAAAGAATATATATTCTATTTTGAGTATTTAATGCCTTCCGTTTGACACTATCCATTTCAACATATACATACACAATTATATATATATATGATCATATCAGATTCGTACATTAAGTTGTTTTACAGGCATCCAAACATACATATCTTTGAGCTCTTACTTGAGCCGCCATGAATATTGATAAATTGTGACTTTTGTGTTTCGTGTAAAAGTTTCACTAATTTGTGGTTAGAGTAAAGTGAATTAAATTTTATTGCTAAAGTTTGAGGAAGTTAGTTTTTGGTATTTTAATAAATGTTTGTTGGAAAATTTTGGTGTAATAAAATTTGTTGGAAAAACATAATTTCTGTTTCCTCTGGAAATTAGTGGCAAATTTATTTTGCTTGGAGATAATTCAATTTGGGTAAGTGTAGAAAACTCTTTAAAAATTAAATCAAAAATAAAAATAAAAAATTATATTTTCAACAAATTCTTGATTTCTAGAATAAAAAAATTATGGAAAATATAACTGGAGACTCACACATATATTCGCCATTGCATTAAATCTTATTGCGCTGTAACTCGCTTCTGGTTTCCCGTATAAGTCCAGAGGAAGGATATTAAGAGGAGTAAGCAGTGGTTTCGAGAGATTTGATGGCAATGCTTCTGTTATCAGTATAGACACCGATAGTTGAATTCTCTCTTGATACCATATGTACGTCGCCACTTCTTTTTGTACAATAGAAATTTCTCGCTTTACCCTTCTCGGCCAGCTTTTCAAGCTTTTCATACTCACGCGGTTTGACCTCTTTCTTCGCTTAGAGCATGTGGTTGATAACCTTTTCGCTTGTCAATTTGATCATTTTCCTTTAATAAAGCGGTCTAATGAGGTTCCTAGTATGACTTACAAGCTGCTAGTAATGTTGTAGATATAGCTGAGGCCATAATTTTTTTTAGTCCATATCAAAAAAAGTTGATTAAAAGTGTAATATAATTTTTATTTGATTAAATTTAGAGCATATTATATGGACCAGTGGCTTATTTATGTCAAGGGAACTTTCATCTGGGTAGACAATGCTTTAAAAATGTTAACAAAGCTCTATCATAATGAACAGCTGTGATTCCACAAGAAAATATATTCACCACATTACCCACACTCCGACGGCCAACGTCATGTAATGAGCGGAAATTCAATTACCAGCAATGCAATTGACGCTCTTGACATAATATTTATATGACTTAGAGCAGCATATTTTTCTTTTTGCCGACTCTGTCAATAACCTTTGACAAAAGCTCTTAAAGCGCACACAGTCACTTGAATGCGCGCTGGAGCGGAAAAGGCGCATTAAATTAAGTACATAATTCTTTTTTATATATTTTTCACACACTCCAACACGTACATATGTCGATATGCAAGTACATGTGTATGTGCTTAAAAGAGATATAAAAGTGTGTCAAATTGATAAGCGCAACAGAGAATATGCCATAACAGATGACAAACATGCTTATGAACACATATATATGAATATATATAGATGTAGTAATACATAGATGCTGTTGCGCCTAGCATATTGCTTAGTAAACAATATTAGTTGAGGAAAAAATTATGAGAAACAGTATGAGAAAAAGATAAAAGAAGTATGTTATCAATATACACATACTCACACACACATACACGCCAACATATAGAGTTGTCACACGTAATTTTCTATTTGCTGCGCCCGTAGATATGCTACGCTTGTAGTCTCTGAAACACTGATTGGTCTAGCCTTAATTTTTCTTCGTATTTGCTTTGCTTTTTTTTGTATTTATGAAATATAACGTGATGATGGTGATGGCATTGATATTGTTAATAAAGTTAAAGCCCATACGTGCGCTCGTTAGCATGGATGGTGTGAAGTATGTGAGAAAACTACAATATATTTATCACATGCACGTTAAACGTGTTAGCGCTAAATGTTATGCTAAAGAGTAAATTTTTAAAGATACGAGTTTTGAATTTAATTAAAAGGAAATTAAGTAAAATTTTAGTGATTAGTAATAAAACTTATCTCAAAGAAAGTCTCTTGAAAAACTTAATAAATAAATTAAAAAATCCATTAAAGTTAATTAAATAATTATTTCACAATTTTTTATGTGTTTAAAAAATGGCAGTCTTTAAGTATAAGCACTTAATATTGAAAAAATTAAAATATAAAGATAAAAATGCAATATTTAAAATATTTGCAGCGCAAACACAGCAAATTCCTTTGATTGGTTACGTATACGCCATGTATGTATTCTACCAGCAGCCAACTCAGTTGCTCACTTTTCGCCTTCTCACCTTAGTAAATATTAGCTGATACACTCACATACACTCACACTGGCGCCATACTAATTTCACTGTTACTGAATTTCTTTCTTCTTCTTCTTCTCCTCTTTTAGGCTCACCGTTTTGGTGTCTGTTTGACATTGTTCCAATTAAAAATGAGAAACGGGATGTGGTGCTCTTTTTGGCATCACACAAGGATATTACACATACCAAGATGTTGGAGATGAATGTCAATGAAGAATGTGATAGCGGTAAGTGTAGAAATGTGTCGGAAAATGTCAGTTTGTTTATTTAAAATATGTTTGGCATGTTATTTATGTATGTAGATATGTTTGAGTTTTGAGAAATATTTACGCAGTGTGACTAGTCATTTTCGCTATGGTTAAACATTAAATTGAAAAAAAAAAATCTAAAATTTTTTTTGGCGTCAGAAATAAAATGAAATGTAGATAAACGATTTTTAATGCCATAATTTGCACAAATAATGTATTATTTTTTACTGGACCTATTTTTAATATATTAGAATATTTTGTTTGAAGCCAAGTTTTCTTTTTGTGAAGCTTAGAGCTTTTTTTTAAAGACTCAATGATATTTAAATCTAAAAAAATTTATTATATTTTTTGCCCATATTTCGAATCGATATTTTAAGTAAAAATTTGGCCAAAATGACATATAATAAAAGAAATTGACCAATTTTTTTTTTTAAAAAGTATTTGTGTACATGAATATGTGCATGCATTTGACATAAACTAGATATTTATGGGTTATTAAAAAAATAAAATAAAAATGAAATTGAAGCTGCTTTTGCTTACACTTTCTTCTCATTGTTGCACACGCTTCTTATTTTAACACTTAAAAATAGCTGTAGACCTTTATTTTCAAAAATTAATAGAAAAAACAAACTTTCTACCCACTCAATTGCCACTGCACAATAAGACGGAATTATAACTTTCCACGAAATAAGCTTTAATCAAGCGCCATTGTTGGATAGCTCAGTGTGGAAATTTATTTCAATTCAAAAGTTATTTTTTCTTTCTTTCACTTTTTTATGCTTCCTTCTTGGACTCATATAATTTTCATATTCACAGTTATTTTTGCGTTTCAATTCTTTGGGCGTAAATTCTGTTCTTCGCTTTGCTTCTGCACTTCGTCTTAAATGGCAATAATTTAAACATTTTTATGTGGAATGTCGCTGGTTTCTTCGTACCTCCTTGCAGCTTCTTTTCCTCACAACAGTAAAATATTTTCCCTTTTGACTGTTTTTCCTTTTTTTTAAATCTCATTTCCTACTCATTGTCTTCATTATTTGTAATTTACGCAGCATTTGAAGTGTCCTTGTGCACGCACTGAAATTTGTCGAATTAATAGTGTGGCAGTGATTTATTCTGTGGTGCCTTAAGGATTACTAATTTTTTGTTTGGTTTATAATTTGAGTTTTTGCAGTTTTTTCTACATTCTCAGCAGGATTTTTTGCTTGTGTTTTTTTTTGGCTTTGAATATATTTGAAAGAAAGAAAAAATAGATTTTTGGCGTAGTTAAATTTTTTCTTTTGGGCTTAGATAAGTAGGTAAGGGGCTTTCTTGGATTGGACCTTTATATGCTTGCTGTCCCATTTCATTGTTCCTTTCACATTATTTTGTGCTCTCAAAGAAACTACTAATATCCATTCGCTTCTGACAAAGTTGGCTATGTCATGTATTTGTGAAACATCTCGCTCACCATTTGTCAGTTACCAGTTGAAAGGCTTGAAGAAACCAACAAAAATTGCTCTCAACGATCGAGCAGTCAAGAGAGATAATTTTCAACAATTAAATGACAAAGAAGGTTTCGTAGCTTAAAAATTTTTTAACTTCATCTAATGTTTAAATTTGTAGCCATATTGGCTTACAGAAAATGTCTGAATATTCGCAATTATTCCTAATTTATTTAAGTAAAATCCACAAAAATATTCACATATCTAACATCCACGGTTTCTCTAAATTTATGCACTCGCATTCATTGAAATAATCAATAAATTAAATTCACTGTTAATTCAGCATTAAAGAAATTATATTGAGCGTTGAATGCCAATGCAATAAACACTGCGCATCTGGGCATAAAAGGCGATATGTGCTTGTATGTGTGTGCTGATGTGTTTTCAACACTTTGATTGATATTGGCAAAGGTTACAACTTATTTGCTTTCTCGCAAAGCAATTAATACAAATTGAACTTCTGAACAAATTGCACAAACACACGAGACTCACATAAAAGGTCTGTAGAATAATTTACAGGAATATTGAATATTTCTCTTCATGAAAAAAAAAAATGAAAATTAAATTTTTTTAAAATTCGTGCTCGTGCCATTCATTTTTTATTTATAGTTTCAGTCACCACTTCCGCTACCATAGACGAATTAGGAACTGCGTATCGTTTACCCCTTCGACTGCTTATGGAAATACCAAAGACAGCCAGGTCAATCTCCTTCTGGTCTTTCTAACGGAGTGGAGGTCTTCCTCTTTCTCCGCCTCCACCACGGATACTTTCAAAGCTGGAATATTTTGATCCATGCGTACCTCATGACCTACCTAGAGTAGCCATTGTCTTTTGATTCGGTAACTGTGCCAAAGTCACGACATAACTCGCACAGCTCACCGTGCTAATATTCAAGAAACCATAAACCTTTCTCACGAAAACTCTTCCATGCCTCGGTGTTTACTTTTCAATTGCCTACTCAGTCCAGCTAAGAGCTATTCTGCGCTGACCTTCAAGGCTGACATTGTTGTTAATGTTAACCCCGATTGAAAGATAGACGAAGTTATTTACGACTTCTAAGTTATAACTGTCAACAGTGATGTGAAAGCCGATTCGCGATTGCTATTATATTTCGCCTTGTCCTCGTCCTTCGCTTCCTTATTCAGTTTGGAGAAAGCAGAACTCACAGCGCGGTTGTTGAGCCCAAAAATTTCAATATCATCGGCGTACCCCAGCAGTCGTAGATTATTATAGATGACTGTACCTTCTCTGTTCAGCTCTGTAGTTCATATTATTTTTTCCCGCAATAAATTAAAGAAGTCAGACGATAAGGAGTCACGCTGTCTGAAACCTTCTTTGATATCGAGCGGCTCGGAGAGGTCCTTCCCGATCCTGACGGAGCTCTTGGTGTTGCTTAACGTCAGTTTACATAGCCCTATAAGCTTTGCGGGGATACCAAACTCAGACGTAGCAGCGTGGAAACAGCTCACTTTTCTAGCTGCCGAAGGCTAGTTTCAACAGAAAAAAAGGTGGTGTCTGTTGAACCTCTTTTCACCGGTCTTTTCTAAGATTTAGCGCAATGTGAATATCTGGTGGATTTTTTAGGTCTAAGGCCACACTGAAAAGTTCCAATCAGAACTTTTACCGATTGTTTTAATCTTTCACACAACACGCTCAATGGGACCTTACATGTGATATTAAGGAAGGTTTTCCACGATATACGTTGTTGGCATATTGAACTGAGTACACTTATATTGCAATGGCCAAGTCAGGTTTTCTCCGACGATATTTTGCAATGAAGCCGATGCACGTAGTTGTTCACTGCAATATTGTGATAGCTCATTTGACAATCAATCAGCTCCCGCCGCTTTGTAGGTTGTCATGTGGATGAGTTTTAATTGGAACTTTTCATAGTCGTGCAATGAAATAACTGTTTTATCGTCATCGATTGGGGAGTCGAGTGCACTGCCACTCGGGTGACTGAAGAGTTGTTCCGCATGTAGATTCAGCATCCCTTTTTTCTGGGATCTGAGAGAGCCTGCTTTAGTCTTGAAACCTACTGTAAGTTGCCGTTAGCTGAAAATTAAAATAGCTTCACTGGCTTTTCATACTCGGCCTCTTTTTTTCTTTGTCTGCAAATACGTCTTGCTTCCCTCGTTATATGTAGTGTCCGACCGTAGTGTCCGACCGTAATTTGCATCTGCCTGAAACTGTTTTTGTTTGTATAGTGCTGCCCTCGTTTTTCAGCCAATGCGCTCAATACGCATTCACATAATTCACTCAATCTTTTATAAATTCTCCTTCACTCTACTTTCCACTCCACTTTTTTTAATATCCTAATGGATTTGCTTAAATTTCAAAAGCTTCAGCTTTTTTGTTTTAGTGAAAGCAATTAATACCAACTCATATGGTTAATAGCACATCAATGATACAGTTAGTTTTTGAATTTAAGTTTACACATGAATATACACATATAGATATAAATACAAGAGAGTCAAGTTTATGTTGTGTTTAAGTGCTTAAGTGAAGAAGAAAAAAGATCGCTTCAAGGATAATAATTTAAACACAAAATTAGAATTACATTTTCCTACCACTCGCTGCTGCCTTAGATATCCAAAAAAGGCGCTAAATGATGGACACCTTATTAAGCCCACATAACAATGGCAACACAAAAGGGTATTGGCAGCTTTTGGTTGTAGTGCGTGCAAAACCATTTCAATGCGGTCTTAAATTATGTACATACATATATATATATATATATATGTATATGTATGTGTGTGTATGGACACATGTGGTTGTCTACTACCTCAATTATGCATGCTTTCCTGTCCTATGGTGAATTCACGTATACATTCATTCACTCATTCACTCTTTACATTACGTATACGCCACGGCGTATCAAATGGTTTGACGATATGCTGGCGAAGGTGAAGTGGTTGCCGCAAATAATGATTGTGATGCATATGTTGGTGTTGATGATGAGCGATTGTTTTGATATTCCCCGGTGATGGATGTGGCTAGTGAATGAAATGCCTTTTGCCACGTATTTCCCAATATATGCGTGCACACACGCCCACGCATACACACACCCACACAGACAGACACTCTAATGCCTACCTTAAATATGTGGCCTGCGTTGAGTCTAATGAATGCAGATATTCTAATCTCATCTACATATCAATATACCTACTAAATGCTTGCGGTTATATCTTCTTGTAGTGTTGTTATCATTCCTAGTTACTGGCTCAGTGAGTGTGTGGGTGAGTGTGTGAATGACGCAATAATCCGTCCCCGTAGCTACTAATGTGTTACATAAGTTGATATCTTATGGTAAAGTGTGTGTGTTGGCTGGCGCGTGTGTTAGTGAGTGTGTGTAGTTGGATAAATAAGATTTTCGAATACCTCCAAAATGGGCACGAACAAAGGTTAATAAGGCGTTGAATTGAGATTTGTGTAGTTTACGTCGATTTTCCGCGGCGCAATATAATGATGGTCATGCAAGTGTGATAAGGAAATCG